TTGTGCTTGGGTGGGGGCAGCTGACAAGTTCATCGCCTGACACAGGGGCCTGAAGATTTCAAAAAGAGCAGAGCCTTATCTACTCAGGGGCCCTTTTTCTCCCGTCAATGAGAGAGAGGATCATGTTGGTCCCTTCAGAGGGAGAGACAGCCTGTACTAGACAGAGGACCCTGCCTTCTTGCCTCTCTGGACACTGATGTGATCTCAAAATGGGAGAAGACCCTGGGTCTCCATGAAGTCCACTAGAGAGGTCTTTGTCACCAAGGATTTCCCATGCAAGGCACTCAGATAGTCCAGCATTATAAAACTTGAAGAAAAATGTGTTATCAGCACTGGGCCGTAAGTCTAACATGGCTTGATAGTCCGTAGTTTGCAGGCAAGGCGAGAACATTTTCCATCCCTCTGGAAGCAGAGATGAAATATCTATTACAACAGCCGTTAACATGGAACGGGGTGTTGTCAGCACTGACGTTCTACCCGTTTCAAGCTTTCATGCCCTGGTACTTTGTCCCACCACCCCTGTCATAATTTTTGTTGTTAGAAGGGGGTTGTGCAGCAATGAAGTTTGAGACCCCCGCTCAGAGTAGATATGATCTCCTCCAATGACAACCACTGAGGATAACACTGTACAAAAGGGGTAGCTTTCTCCAGCCCAGCTTTAGTTTCATGTCTACTGTACAGTGTAAGGAGAAGTTGAGGAATTTTCTCATGAGCACACACACCAGTGTGAAAGCCCTCACGTCGCTCAGCCCATATTTAGTTCTCACACACAGAGAGGAAGCTCAGTCTGGTGGCTAAAGCACAAGACTGGAAGTCTCGTGTTCTGGGGTCTGTTCCAGACTCTGCTGCAGAGCGCCTGTGTGGTGGGAAAGTCACTGCACATCTGTGCCTCAGTTTCCCCATGAGCACAGCTATACTACTGCTTGCCTGGTGAGGTCTAAAGCCTTCATTAATCAATGGAACGTACTGTAGAAAGGCAGCAAGTGATCATATTTCCCTTTGCTGAACGCGGGACACCTGGTATAAAATTAGTTGTAGTCAAGTGAGTTAATGGCCATCACTCAGAACTAGGCAGTGCAAACTTTCAAAGTGGCATCAAGTTGACTGAGTCCCTGTTAAAAAGAGACACTGAGTCGCTGGAGTCTTTATTTACCTTCTTATCTTTAAGGCTTGCAGGGGGAGAGGTGACATGCACACACCACCTACCGCTCTTGCACACTGCGAGGGGGTGACGGGCCGACCTGACCCACGCATCCCTGACCATTTCTCTCCACCCTCCATGCCTGATTGGGCCCCTGGCATGGACCTGCCTCTCCTGCAACCTGGTGCCGCATCATCTCAAGGCAACCTGTGCGGGGTACAGGTCCCCCTCCCCAAATTTCTATCAGGGTTCACACCAGAACATGGCCAGCAGCAGCCTTTCGGCACTGTGCAGGAGGGAAGGGATGGGAGCTGATTCCAGTGGAATCGGGGTGGGGGAAGAGAGGACCTGCCCATGTTTTCCCAGAGCTCCTCTCTTCCTCCCACCTCCCTTATGGCTAGAAGCAGCTTGAACCTTCCTGCCTGCAGAGTGTAGAAAAGGAGCTAATAGCCCCAAGCTGCTGCTGGCCACCAACATAACCCGGCCACCTCCTGTCCCCTGGCTTACAGTATGGGCAGGAAGGGGTTAAGTCCCAAGGATGCACTGTACACACCATGGCCCAAGGAACCTGACAGCAAGGGCTTCAGCCAACCCAGCCAGAGAGGTGGCTCAGCAGGGGAGTGTGCCTGGGGACAGAGCAGCCCC